GATGGAAAGCTGCCTGGCAGAAAAGGATGTGAGGGTGTTGGTTGACAGCCAGATGAATATGAGCCAGCAGTATGCACAGTTGGCCAAGAAGGACAATAGCATCTTGGCTATTATCAGAAATAATGTGGCCAGCAGGACCAGGGAAGTGATCATCCCATTTTACTTGGCACTGGTGAAGCTGCACCTCAAATCCTGTGTTCAGTTTTGGGCCCCTCACTGCAAGACATTGAAGTTCTAGAGCACATCCAAAGAAGAGCAATTAAGCTGATAAAGGATCTGGAATACAAGTCCTATGAGGAGCAGATGAGGGTAATGAGGTTTTTAGTCTGGAGAATAGAAGGCTCAGGGGATACATTATTGCTTTCTGCAAGTATTTGGAAAGAGGTTGTAACAAAGAGGGTGTCAGTCTCTTGTCTATGTAACAATTAACAGAATGAGGAAATGGCCTGAAAGGGAGGTTCAGATTGGCTATTAGGAAACAATTCTTCACTGAAAGAGTTATCAAGCATTGGAACAGGCTGTCCAGGTTGAGTCACCATCCCAGGGGACGTGCAGATGTGACACATAGGGACATGGTTTAGTGGTGGACTTGGTAGTGTTAGGTTAATGGTTGGACTTGATAATCTTCGAGGCCTTTTCCAACTTAAATGATTCTATGATTCTATGGCTCAGCAACATCAAATTCTGAAAGATTCACTTTGATTTTCTTCTCTAGAGGCCTGTTTGGTGGTGACACTGTTGTTTTCAGGAGGCAGCTCCTTAAAAAACTTCCATAGGTAGCTAATCGGGCCTGCCTTAGAGTTTTCAAATAATAAAAAGTAGAGTTAATTCCTGGTTCCAAACTCAATTTGTTCTGACTCTGTATTAACTGTATCATGTCAGCCTAACAGTTCTTCAGAATTGTATCAAACTACACAGAATTTTACAGTGTCAGGAAGCTCTTGCAAACAGAACCGTATGCTTATTTACTTTTTCACTATAATGCAAAATGCTTTGCAGGAGCAATTAAACAAGGCTTAAGTAAAGGCTAACCCAATGATTTTAGGAACAAATGTACCATTTGTAAGATTTTATGTCATAAGCCTTTGTTTTGGGAAAATATTCTCAGGCTATCAATGAGTAAATTCTAAATTTACCTGGAACTATTTAAACTCCCATCTCTTTCCAAAAATTAAGGATTAGGTGCATTTAAAGTTCAAGAAACTCATATAAAATAAATAAGGTTCTTAAAACTTGGTTATCATGTCATCTTGTACACTTATCTCTGCCTTGAACCACATGCATTTCAGTACCCATGAATTTGTTTGCTGATTATAACTGTACATAGTATTTACAACAGTACTTGTTACAAGTATTGTGTCCATGACCTGTGTTCTAAAGAATAATCATGCTTGTGTCATCAAGTTTGCAAAAGGAAACTGCCTGCATATTTAATATACCACTTAACTATGAATTGTAAATGAATCAGTTAAATCTTACATTTTGGTAAGAAGGTGGAAAACATAAAATCTGTTTAAGAAATAAAAGGGAATTGCATGGATTGATTTAAAAAAAAATTAAATGATTTTCACAACTGCATAAATTCATCTTTTTTTTTTTTATTCCAGAATCGAATGGAAGAAAGCAAAGCACTCTTTAGGACAATTATCACATATCCATGGTTCCAGAATTCTTCGGTCATTCTGTTCTTAAATAAAAAAGATCTCTTAGAGGAGAAAGTTATGTACTCCCATTTAGTTGATTATTTCCCAGAGTATGATGGTAAGTATATTGCCACCAGAATTCATGCCCCATTTAAAATACGGTATATGGCAAAATGTAGTAGCCTTGCCCATATTTTGCTTAGAGGTTCTTAGATCAAAGATAATCACCCATTCTTCAATACACCCATTTTCTTCTTTACAAATTGTGCTTAGTACACCAAATGGTTAGTTTGTAGTTGAATGACTTGTTGGTCATGTTTTTAAAAATTATATTAAAAGGAAAAAATGCTTGAAAGCAGTAATTTTTAATGCTCCAAATTTTTTAAGTCACTGGAGTCTGGTGGAACTTTCTAGATCGGTAGTATTTCATCTTATACCTTCATTAATCGTGGATAAGATGACAGTACCTTTAATGTGAAATTATTGATTTTGGATGAGTAATGTCATATTAGCAATGGACCTTTTTCTGTTCTGGTTCATAAGTTGGGCTGAGGATTTGAACTGAAGTATAAAGCTAAAATTATATAAAAATGCATTTCTCATTCTACACAGTGTCTCAAATACTCTTTTTTATTTTTTTGTGTGTTTGTTTGTTTTGTTGGCTTTTTTGTTTGAGGCTGGATATCTGAAGATAAGTGTCATAAATTCTCTGTGGCTGTCAGAGAAACCAGTATCACTTCTCCCAGACTTTCATTGTACCATTTCTTCCTTATTTCATTTATTTTAATTTTATGTTATTTATGTGCTTATCCCAGAAAACATTATGTGGAACAAATACCTGTTTCTAAGGAAGCTGTACTTTCAGAAAGTTCTCCTGAGATGAAAAGTTAGGTATTCTAAGGTAACTAAGTAGAGGCTTTGGTAGCAGAGAAAAAATCAAATTCATATAATAACATCTCTTTTGTCTCACCAGAGAGGGAAAAGCAGATTCAAAAGCTACAAAAAAGTTTAAATCTCTCATTTTCAAAACTAGATAATGATAAAAGGAAAAAAGTTTCAGGTTTTTCCTGTTTGAGAGTAAAGGATGTTTTCACAGTGAACAGCCTGCTGGATCAGACCATACTTATTTATGAATCAGTGTAAGTTTAGTTCGATAGTTACTAAGCAGAAGAGACCTGACAGTTGAATAGAAAATATTCTTGCCCTTTCAAGTTAAAAATGTGACAGATGCCTTAGATGACATCCTGTGGGCCCTTCTGTTATGATCAATCAAGTGGAGATACACCTGTGTTAAATGTTTGTCCAGGAAAAAAAAGGTCAAAATTCATACATAATGGTCAAGGTTGGAAGGGACCTCTGAAGATGATCTAGTCCACCCCCCCTGCTCAAATAAGGTCACCTAATGTCTGTTTCCCTGGAACATGTCCAGATGGCTTTTGCATATCTACAAGGAGGGAGACTCTACAACCTCTCTGGGCAACCTGTTTCAGTGCTCAGTCACCCTCACAGTAAAAAAGGGTTGCCTGATGTTCAGACAGAAACTCCTGTGTTTTGGCTTGTTCCCATTGCTTCTTGTCCTGTAACGGCACCATCAACAAGAGCCTGGCTCCATCTTCTTTGCACCCTCCCTTCAGGTATTTGTACACATTGATGAGATCTCTGTCTGAGCCTTCTCTTCTCTGGGTTAAATGGTCCCAGGTTTCTCAGCCTTTCCTCCAGTCCCATAATCATCTTTGTAACTCTTGGCTGGACTTTCTCCAGTATGTCCATGTCTTCTTGTACTGAGGAGCCCAGAACTGGACACAGAACTCCAGGTGTGGCCTCACCAGTGCTGATTAGAGGGGAAGGATCACCTCCCTCAGCCTGCTGGCAACATTCCTCCTAATGCAGCCCAGGATATCATTAGCTTTCTTTGTGGCAAGGGCACATTGCTGGCTTATGTTCAACCAGGACCCTCAGGTCCTTTTTTGCCAAGCCTCTTTCTAGTTGGGTGACCCTCAGCATATATTGGTACCTAGGCTTGTTACTCTTCAGGTGCAGGACTTGGCACTTCCCCTTGTTGAACTTCATGAGGTTTCTGTCAACCCATTTGTCCAGCTTGTTGAGGTCTCTCTGGATGGAGCCACTCCCTTCAGTTTTTTGTCACCAACAAACTTGCAGAGCATACACTCTGCTCCCTTATCCCCTCTGCTGTTCCAACACTCTGTTTGAAGATATTTAAGAGGGACAGATTTGGACAACTCATCAGAATAGGGTATTTTTCAGCTGGATCAGTTTTCCCATGTGGGTATGTTGGGGTCCTTGCGATCCTTGCAAGGGACGGACTACAGCACACCATTATGATGCTCTGATAGCCAACTTTATTTAGGGCACCTAACAGTATTTATAGTAAAATGTCTCCCGTACATGCAGCTACACGCTGATCACACAACTTTGGATTGGTTGCTCCACTTGTTAATGCGTACAATTCTTACTTATGATAGGTTGCAAGTTTAAGCTGCATCCCGCTCTCACATCCTGGGAAACTGATAGCAAGAACTACATAGTGTCTATGAGAATCTAAATAACAGCACTATTCTTAGCTTGTTAGCAAAACAACTTATCTATAAGGCAGTAAAACTAAAACCAAACCTAAAAACCCTGGCAGCAGGAGAGAATAAAGTGTTGGATTGAAGACACAGGAATGCATGAAGATAGAAACAAGGTCAGCAAGACCTATTTTGTGTGTCTTGTTTTTAATTGCTTAAGCATTCCTTTAACCATTGCTCAGGTTACAGCTCCTCTGCTCGCCAGGCCTCAACATGGGTAGTACATTGAAAAAATATAATACAAGAAGTAGCATAGGAATGAGAAATGGTAACCAGGATGGCAAACTGGACTGATTAAACTAAGCAGTTATACTGCACAGTATGTCATAACAACATTGGATGAGAGACTGAGATGTGCTCTAGGGTCAGAGTATCGCATGAAGGTATGCTTTCACAGATCATACAGAGATCCTTTTAAGACTGCTAAATAGGGAGCACTGGACACGAAAGCTACTGATTTATTTGTATTGTAATTATTTTCCATGTTTATTTAGATCATAAGCACTTAGCACTGTAAATCTAGCATTGGTTCATTCACTTTTTCTAAATACCTGAGGTGGTAAACTTTCTTTTTAATCTCAATTTTATGTTCTTGAATTCCAGTCAGAAAAAATTAAATTACATTATAATAAGCAGACGTTATAGGCATGCAAAATTTGGATACAGGCTTTGACTACTGCATTAGATTTTGATAGAGGGACAACCTTGCCTGCATCTACCCACTGTAAAACTGTTTAACAAAATTCTAGGGAGTTGATTAAAACAATAAATGGTTTATTTTGAAGAAATCATTGTGTTTGAAAGTCTAGGAGTCTCCTTTACAAATATTTAAACTTATTAAAGTTAAAAAAAATAGTAGGGAAATTTATTTTTACTGCTGTTTCTATAGAATATGTGATGAAGCTAAAGGCTACAATCTATTGGGTTTAGGAATTGTAAAAATTTTGAAGTCCTCTTTGTCCTATCTCAGAGAACTTATTATATGTTTACATGTTCTTCTCTACATCTCAGAAAATGTGTAGTCTGTGTATGTGTCTATATATACGCATACATACTTATGTGCTTAGAAACATAGAATCATCAAGGTTGGAGAAGACCATTAAGATCAAGTCCAACCATTAACCTGCCACTCTGCTGTAACCTCTAAATCATAAACCATATCTTCCAGCACCAGGTCTAGATGCCTCTTAAACACTTCCAGGAATGGTGACTCCACCACTTCCCTGGGAAATCTATTCCAGTGTGTGACCACCCTAAGAATGAAAACTTTTTTTTTAATATCTACTCTGAATCTCCCCTGTCTCAGCTTATGCCCCGAGTGCAGGACCTGGTACTTCACCTTATTGAACCTCATGCCATTGTCCTCAGCCCACTGATCAAGTCGGTCCAGGAATCAGATAGCATATCTGATAGATATAAGAAAGCATTTTATCTTCTGTGATTCCTTTGCTATCTAATTTGTGCATTTATCCAAATTACAAAGGCTTAAAATTGCATTTAAATATTAAAAATAGGTTTTATTGTGCAGACATTGAAAGTTATGTGGGCACATGCTAACCCCCTAAGTACAGATTTCATAACCACTGAAGGACAGAACTATATAACAGCTGAGCTTAGGTATTTATATTGTCATGTAACAAGACCAGGACTAATGAGGAGATATAAGGAGGAGGCACAGCAAACATACATGTTCTGTAGAAATCCACATTGCAGAAACAGGAGGACAAGGGAATAAAATTGCACTGGAACAGTATATGTATATAGTATAGGAAAAAAGTAGTTTGTGGCTAATGTTCCTGCTTCTGTGCTGCTCTTTTGGCTGTAAAGAGGAATGAATAGTCACTCTTATAGATTGGAAGTTGCTATTTTGCCTTCCGTCTTGTACAAAGCAGAACATGTAGTTTGACTATATAGACTTATTGTTCTTCTGAGAATTACAGACTTTGTTTAAATTTAATAGGAATGTTATTTAGATAATTGATTTGTTAGAGCATTAACTTTTTGCAATTGAACAGCTTCAACTAGCAAGCATGTATATTTTACTATCACTAAATTAAATTCTTTTTGGGACAGTGTCATACCAGTTTATGATGTAACTTGATTATGCCACATTTTAAAAGAATGTACTTAAGTGTAGTTTAAATACTGTAGAGATAGACTGAAAATGGGTCAAATCCATTATTTTTAATGTATTTATGAGTATAAAGCAATTAATTCTTCTGTTGTTCATTTTGTGGAGTTATAGATCATCAGTTTAATCTCTCCATTTTATATAGGAGAGTGAGCAGGAAAAGAACAGCTCTTCTTGAATTTCCTTCCATTTTTATTTTTAATGGTTCTTACTGGGAAAAATTAGTACATGGTAGTATTTATTAGTAAATTTTTTCTCTTCCTCTCATACAAGGATGACAGACTGAGTCTTTCTTCTGTTTTCTGCTCCTCAGGTTCCCCTCCTAAATAAGTTCAAATATTGAATTGACTTTAGGAGAAACTGACTTTTTCTTCTTAATTATTAGGACCACAGCGAGATGCACAAGCAGCACGAGAGTTCATCTTGAAGATGTTTGTAGACCTGAATCCAGACAGTGACAAAATTATCTACTCCCACTTCACTTGTGCTACAGACACAGAGAATATACGCTTCGTCTTTGCTGCTGTCAAGGACACAATCCTACAGTTAAACCTAAAGGAGTACAACTTAGTCTAACTGTGCCTAAGAGGCCATCCAAGACCACCTTTGTGTGATTGAAGATGCACAAGAGTGACTGTATTCTCTGTGAAAACAAATTGCATAATGTTAATTTATTGCTGACCTGGACTCTATGAATGTTCATAGAGGTTTTAGTTAATAATATGATTTTATTTAAACTATATGGAAGAAAGCTAAAAGATGCTGAAGTACATTCACAGTATATTTTCTTATTTTTCTGGCAAAATCATGTGACTCAGTGGTTTTTAAATTCTCAGTCATACACTCACAAAGTATAACAGGTTTTTGTTATTGAAGCAAAATCAAGCTGGTTTCTTCTTT